AGAAACACTTCGTCAAAAAGCACCCAGAGTCTGTTGAATTTGTGCAGTGTCTCGATTGTTTCAAGTGCCTTCCAGACAAAAGTCATCTTGCTGAACACGAATGCGATATGGTAGGTGTTTTTTTTCTTACTCACACTGTGTTTTTACGTCCTTGTCTTGTTTCACGGTTACGATATCATCTGGTGAAGAGCAGTTAGTTGATGAATAGTCCGTCGTGGTGCGTCAAGTCACCCACACAATGCTTCCTGCTCTCTTCTTAATAACAACACAACCTTTGTCAGCTTCTTTTTGACCTTATCGACTTTCCTAACTTCTTTACAGACATGGTTATGTTTCGAATGCACCCCTATTCAAAATATGTGCACGGAGCAGCGTTTCAATAATCACCGTGCAAAGTTTCATCGCGGTGCCAACTCAGGCTTCAAATGCAACGAATGCAATCAAAAGTTTTTGACTCCAAGAAAATTGAGGTGGGTGTTCGTAGGGGCAAGAATCGTTTACTGTGGTGAGTAGTGGGAGATGAAATTAAATTTCTAGGAAACACAAGAAGATGTCCCACATTTTTGTGAAAACTTATGCCTGTCACTTTTGCGAGGAGCTGTTCACAAGCGAAGTTTCAGTAAGTAAAAGATCCTACTTCTCTTTTCATTGTGTTTGTAATGGTTTTGTTTTCCTTCCGGAAGTAAACTTCTCACTTTACAGGTGATGACGCACGAAAGAATTCATACTGGCATAATCAAATTCGAGTGCAAAATTTGTGATTTCCGGTGTAATCGATATATTCAAATGGAAAATCACAAAAAAGTGAGTTACTATGCAGATGTATGAGAATTCAAGGATGTGATATGTTGTTGTTTCTCTTGCACAATTCGTCTTCATACGCAGTACTGTTTTGGTTCTGGTTCGGAAATTACTCTTCAGCTTCATTTCCAATTAATCGTCTGCTCAGTATCCCCTTCTTAATGTGCTATTTAGGGCAGTTTCCTTACTGCGGCCTTTTTGAAACTTTTGCGTTGCAGGAGGATCACGGATATCTATGCTCCATTTGTCAGGAGAGCTTTGGAGAGTGGGCTGAAATCAAAAATCACACGTTGTCGAAACATGGAGGCTACCTCACTAGCGATACGTACACTGGTATACAGAACTTCATTCTCAGCTTTGTTGTTGCTTTTTTACCGGCGATCTTGCTCGTTCATCCTTTTTCATTTTCTGGTGGTTTTTTTATGCATAGCACAGTGAAATCATGCGGCTGTGAAGCTTTCGGATTGCAGTTCACTACATTCAGTAGCACCGGTATCGGGTGAAAGTTTTAATCACAGGAGTTACACTTATTGTGACGGTATTCTGACAATTTCAGCTTTAGCATTATGCATTATACAAGTTGAAGTCGGAATACACACTTGGAAGTTCCGTTAAGAAAGCGGCAGAAGATTGAGGACATGAAAATTGAGAGGAAATTTCCTTTGTGATTCAGCATTTTATTGCGTCACTGCTTTTGATTTTCGTCGGCGTTGGCAAGAATAAAGAATATTATATGTCTAGTTGTAATGTTGCTTTAGATTGGTTCTTACCGCATGATCCTTTTCCTCCTCGTCGATACTCCTGAGTTTCAACTCTCCGCTATCGTCAGTGATATATTCATTGTTTTAGGTTATGTGGAGTCTCCTCGTGTCTGGGCATTGTTTAAAGGAGATTGAAGAAGCAGATATCACTCTCATTCACATGCGCTCCATCGTTCATTTTCTTTTATCACCTTCGTGTCAACGGTTTTCATCATAGTGTCATCTGCTATATTTTGTAGTTTTTACTAGCTCTTTAGTTAGTGTATATTTTGGATAGTTTTGTTGAGTTGCAGTATTAGTTCTGCCCGTGTTTTTTCATGATTTTCTTCCGTGTGTATTATACCAGTGGAACAACGGTTTCATTGTCACTTATGCTTTATTGATTACGTCGTGTGTACATTTTTGAAGCTCATGCGGTTAATGAAGTTTCTTGCCTTATAACAAAATTTCCTATTGTTTGAATCATTTGTGATACTGAGTTTAGAGGGCATTACGAAGCTGAATTGTCTGTTCCCTGACTTCTACCTTGTGCTTTCAGTGCGTTGGAGAAGCGACGTGACACTCGGCTGGTTCCCTCGGTTTTCGACGCTTCGCTGCAAGTCTCAAGGATAACGGTTCTCATCGTTCCAGCAAGCGATTTGTTATTAATGGCGTGTTCGAAGTTTGATTTCGGGGCGAAAAAGCGGCGAGGACGCCAGTTTTTATGAAACTTGGCGAGGTCGCATTTGCGTTTTCGCTTCAACGAAGCTACGACTAGCCGTGTAGCAATCGCAATGCGTTACAGTTTTTCGGAGGTTTCGGGCATTGTGAGGTCGTGAGTGGAAAGTGTTTCTCAATTTAGATATCTAAGGTTTATGCAAATAAAAATGCCTTGAATGGTTTTCCTGTAAAAAAAAGTTGCCATCTTTATGTTAACTGAAGATTAGTCGTTGAATTGACGTCCACCGGGAGTTTAGCCTGAGCATCTGCGTTCTTTCTGGCTTAATGGTGATTGTGTAAGGCAGTATAGGTGACATTAAAAGTCTTCACTGAAAGAAAAGAATTGACCACATTTCAAATGAATTGTGCTGTATAATAAAAGAAAGGGTACATCAACCTAGTTGACTTAACGCCAAAAGACTACTGGGACTAGTTCAGAGTGGTTCTGCCACCATTGCGGAATTGGTCCCCTGCACACCCCTGGGTGCGGGTCGGGACGGAGTATTGCGTCGCAGCTTTTTTTGTCACTAGCGTTTCGCGCGGGATTCTAGTACGAATGAGCCTCACCTACTGTAGGTAGAGTACGCCACTGGAGCAGGATATTTGCATTGGCGCTAGTTAGGCGACCTTGCGATAAGCAGTTGGGAGTGGATGTAGCTTCCAGGCATGGAAGAGTCGTGATTGACGAAGGGCTGAGGATTTTTCAGTTTTGTGGTAGTGATCTATGAAATAGAACGCGCCGATGAATATGCGTAGGCTTCGTTCCCCTCATTTCTTCCATCACATGAGTGAGGTTCATGCACTTAGATAACGGACATTAGGTGGTTCAGCTGAAAGTATTAGATACGTTGATTATGAGAAAAGGAGTCTAGCACCCTCAAGCCAGACCAGAATATTTACTAATCTTTAGTGCTTGCCTTGTGGTAAGAGAGAGCAGTCAAAGCCAGCAGCACCATTTATGCCAGTTTAGTCCAAAAGGGGGT